TTGTGAAACCACCATTCAGTTCAAGATACAGCTTGGATGGGCTGGCATTTGAGACCCCACAGATGAGAAGCTGCTGCCTGTTCAGAGATCTGAGGGAAGAGGGTTCCAAGTAGAAAGAGTGTGTACAAAGGCCCTGGGGTGGGAACGAAGTTGGCTTTGAAAAGCAGGGTGGCTTGCCTGTGAGGCCAAGGGGGAGAATGGCAACTGAGAAGGTTGAAGTGACAGACTCAGTGCCAGCAAGCAGGGACCTATGAGCCATCATTAAGAGTTCAACATTTGGCTCGGCACCTATAGCTCAACCGGCTAAGGCGCCAGCCACGTACACCTAAGGTGGCGGGTTCGAATCCCCAGCCCGGGCCCGCCAAACAACAATGACGGCTGCAACCAAAAAATAGCCGGGCGTTGTGGCAGGCGCCTGTGGTCCCAGCTACTTGGGAGGCGGAGGCAGGAGACTCGCTTGAGCCCAGGAGTTGGAGGTTGCTGTGAGCTGTAATGCCACGGCACTCTGCCCAGGGGGACAGCTTGAGGCTCTGTCTCAAAAAAAAAAAAAGAGTTCAACATTTCAGGCACCTGTGGCTCAGTGAATAGAGCGCTGGCCCCATATACCACGAGTGGTGGGTTTGGCTCCACCAAACTGCAACAACGACAAAAAAAAAAAAAATAGCTGGGTGTTGTGGCGAGCACCTGTAGTCCCAGCTACTTGGGAGGCTGAGGCAAGAGAATCGCCTAAGCACAAGAGCTGGAGGTTGCTGTGAGCTGTGATGCCATGGCACTCCATGGAGGGCGACAAACTGAGACTCTGTCTCTAAAAAAAAAAGAGTTCAACATTTCAAAGAATATTTGTGAGTATTTGATATGTATCTGGCACCATGCCAGACATCAAAGAATTGAAAATGAATAAATTAAGTCATTGTCCTACTCTTTAATCTGCTTCTCTATTTATTTATTTATTTATTTATTTATTGGTTGCAGCCGTAATTGTTGTTTGGTGGGCCGGGGTTGGATTTGAACCCACCACCTTGGGTGTACATGGCTGGTGCCTTAGCCACTTGAGCCACAGGCACCGAGCCAATTTTTTTTTTTTTTTTTTGAGGCAAAGTCTCAAGCTGTTGCCCTAGGTAGAGGGCTGTGACATCACAGCTCACAGCAACCTCAAACTCTTGGGCTTAAGCAATTCTCTTGCCTCAGCCTCCCAAGTAGCTGGGACTACAGGCACCTGCCACAACACCTGGCTATTTTTTGTTGCAATTTGGCCAGGGCCAGATTTGAACCCACCACCTCCAGTATATGGGGCTGGCACCCTACTCATTGAGCCACGGGTGCTGCCCTATTTTTTTTGTTTGTTTGTTTTGTTGTTACAGTTGTCATTGTTTCAGTTGGCCCCAGGCTGGGTTCAAACCTGCCAGCCTGGATGTATGTGGCTGGGGTCCTACCTACTGAGCTACGGGCGCTGCCTTTTCTAGCTATTTAAAAACATGCAAGAAATTAATTATAGTCATCCTAGAGCTAGAGAATGCTAGGACTTATTCTTCCTATCTAGCTGTATTTTTGTATCTATTAACCAACCTGTGGCTAACCTTCATTTTCCCCCATTCTACCCTTCCCTGCCTCTTTGAGACAGGGTCTCATTGTGTTGCCCTGGCTAGAGTGCAGTGGCATCATCATAGTTCATTTCAGCTTGCAACTCCTGGCTTGAAGCAATCTTGCTGCCTTAGCCTCCCTAAGTGGTGGGATCACAGGCATAAGCCACCCTACCACCCTGCAGCTCATACTCTTAAGGAAGTTGGTAAAGTCTTCGAGACTATAGACTCTGAGTTAGACATGTGAATGAAAAAATATGGCATGGGTATTGCATTGCATGATAAAAGTATGTAGAAGACCCAGAGTTGGCACAAAGAGGGACATGCTAAGCCCCTGCAATGTGATGAGTCAAGAAAAATTTTCTCTCTTCTTCTTTTATTTTTTGAGATGTGGCTTCACAGCTCACAGCAACCTCCAACTCCTGGGCTCAAGCAATTCTCCTGCCTCCTTTTCCCAAGTAGCTGGGACTGCAGGCGCCTGCCACAATGCCTAGCTATTTTTGTTGTTGTTGCCCGTCACTGTTTGGCGGGCCCGGGCTGGATTCAAACCCTCCAGCTCAGGTGTATGTGGCTGGCACCTTAGCCACTTGAGCCCAGGTGCCCAGCCTTTTTTTTTTTTTTTTTTGAGACAGAATCATACTTTTAGCCCTTAGTAGAGTGCTATGATGTCATAGCTCACAGAAACCTCAAACTCTTGAGCTCAAGTGATTCTCTTGCCTCAGCCTCCCAAGTAGCTGAGACTATAAGTGCCCACCACAACACCCAGCTATTTTTAGAGATGGGGGTCTCACTCTTGCTGAGGCTGGTCTTGAACCTGTGAGCTCAGGTGATCCACCTGCCTCAGCCTCCCAAGTGCTGGAATTACAGGTGTGAGCCACTGTGCCTGGCTCTATTATCTATAATCTTGTTAATGTATGTGTGTGGCTTGAGATTTAGGATTCAGTAGTCTCCATGTTCTCTACAGGCTCATGCCTGGGCCTGCATTTCCTGTTTCTGATTACAGGGACTGTGTTTTAATTTCTCAATATAATGCTTGGCATAGCCTTATCTGTAAAAAGGTGTGTTCACAATGACTTTTGACCATGCTTCATAATTCTTCACTTTGCATGTATAGACACAGACTTAGAGGTACAACTGCTCATGTCCTCATGTCCTAGAAGGGCCTTCTGAAAATTAGCATATCAGTTTTCTCAGAAGGAGCTTAATTACAGGCAAGGAGACAGGGAAGGAGCAGGTCATAAGTTCTGTCCCTCAAGATGTACCCAAATGAGAGAAACTGTCTGTCTGGGTGTTCTGAATTAAACCCAGAATTAGGTGTTGGAACTACAATTCCATTTGGGAATAATTTAACACATTCTGTGGCATTTTTGGAGGAGGGAGTGGGGATGAGGAGGATAAAACCTCCATTACATTGTGGATAATGATCCTACAGTTATATACTCTCCCCACTAGGGATTTAGCCTTTAGTTTAAGGTGACCAGATTTTAACATTGGTAAAGCGGGACACCATGGGGGGGGGGGGCCTGACAACAATGCAAACTTTGATAATCAGTTCTCAACAATTATTTGTTATTATTAAAGTTTAACATTATAAAATTAACAAAAATAATATAAAACGCGTATCCTGGCGAAATAGCCACATGGCAGCCGAAAACCATATATTCCCTTTCTGTTCTCCCGTGTTCCCTAGCTTGTCGTGCATTCTTTCCAAAAATTGGGGCTTTTTTAAATGCCACAGGATGCAGGACAAATTGTTAAAAATCAGAACTGTCCTGCCAAAACGGACATCTGGTCACCTTACTCTAGAGAGGGTGGGGGCTACTTGTTTCTTCCGGACAGTTTGGCTCCTTCTGAGCTAATTGTCCTTGCCTAGAAGCAAGGGAGGGAGCCGGTCTCCTTCTGATACCTTGCCCAGGAGGGGAGCAGGGAGTTTACATTAGCCTTTTCATTTCCAAATGAAGTTACATTAACCTCTTCATTCCCAAATGGAGTTACATGAACCTTTTCAGCAGCCAAAAAACGTATATTCCCTTCCCATTTTCCCTCTATTCCCTAGCTTGTCATGCATTCTTTCCAAAATTTGGGACTTTTTAAAAACGCTGTGGGACGTGGGACAAATTGTTAAAAATCGGGACTGTCCCTCCAAAAGCTGGACGTCCGGTCACCTTACTTTAGATCCAAATATCTAAATGCCCCAGAGAAGGGGAGAAAACCTGTGATTGAGAATCTCAATATCTAGCCTTTCTTAGACTAGAGCATAGGAAGCAGGGAAGAAAACAAGATCATTGCCTCACTTGCTTTCCCCAACCCCAGCCCCAGCTATCTGCCAGTGGGAAGCACAGTGAGCTTGACTGTTTGCAGCATTTCCTTCTCTTCCGGTACTGGGCCAGGACCAGGGCTAGAGCCAGAAGAAGCCCAGCCCTGGCTCCTGTGTGGCCAAATGTGTAGATTTCACCACACCTACCCTCACATCTACTTCCATGCCACTGACTTTAAGGAATTCTGGAATCCATCAGGAAGGCTGCACAAGGAGGGTGGATGGTGATATGTAGGTCACACTGGGCTTGGGAGTCAAGAGTCCCCAGCCCTAGACCTTTCTCTGCTACCCCTGCTGCACAAGTTTGGTCAAGCCACCCCAGCCCCCAGCCTCTGTGGCCTCTTCTTATCCTTCAGGGCATGGCTCAAATACCACTTGCCCTGGAGACCCTCCCCCAACTAAGTTGAGCTCTCTGTGCAGCATACCACTGCTTGCTCTCTTTGCTTCCTTTCTATCACCACAATTTGTCATCACACACACGTGTGTGTATTTACATATACACTATATAATTACGTTTGCTTGCTTATTTGGTTTATCTCCCCACCAGATTTTAGATTATAGGCTCCAGGAATGCAGACTGTCTGTGTGTCTTTGACCCTTGCATCCTCAGAGCCTGGCAGAGTGCTGGACATACAGGAGGGGCTAGAAAAGTAATTCAGTTAATGAACAAATGTATGAATAACAGTTGATCAGGTTCTCTGCAGATGAAAAAGTTTATGAGTCTAAGGTTCCCGCCAAAAGGACCACTCCGGGGCCTCTCCCAGTAGTCCCCAGGAGGGTGAAGGGGGAGGGGCGGGCTGACAGCTTCTGTAGCTTCCCAGGACTCAAGCGACTGTGGAACCGGATTAGTGCAGATCTGAGTCCTCTTTGGCCCCACCTCCCGGCCTGCCGGCCTGGGCGGAGTCAGGCCTCCCTAGGCTGGTGGCATTCGACAGTGAGCCCCTCTAGGGTGGAGAAGAGGTGAGCCCGAGGGCGAGCCAATGGGCGGGATGGGGCGGGCTAGCCCCACTAGCCGGGCAGCGAAGGGGCGGGGCCCTAGTTGTAGGTTCCCCGCTGGGGGCGGGCCGTCGCCTAGCAACGGCCGCCCCGCCCCCGGCCGGTGCGGGTGCTGCCCCCAGCATGGCTTGGCAAGACTGGTCAGCGAACTGGCTGTGGGTCACCGGCTCCGGGCTGCTTTTCGCCCTTGTTCTGCTCGTGAGCCCTCGCGGCTCCCGAGCGCTGCGGAGCCTTCGCCGTCTGCTCATGGCGCGCAGCCAGCGGCTGCTCTTCCGAATCGGGTTAGTGCCGGGCTCTGGCGGGATGCAGGCGCGGGAAGGCGGGCGCTGGCAAAGGGGGCTGGGGGACCCTACTTGGGCAGAGGGATCCAGGGCTAGAGGACAGGGACTGGGAAGACTTGAGAAGCCACTAACTTGGAGAATCTGGGGGATTTGGGAGGCAGGAGAACTGAGACGTGCAAGGGAAGGAGGACTGGGGAGGCGGGCCAGGGTGGCCGGGGAAGAGGGTGTGAGACTGCACATGGAGAAAAGGGCCAGATAAGGGGCCGGAGACCAAGGCGCTGGAAAAGGGGGTCTGTAGTGCAGGATCCCGAGCTGGCAAGGCCGTCCTTGCCAGGGGCTGAGGTTGGCAGACGCCCGCCCCGGTGGGCAAGTACAGGAGAGTAGTGCCTCAGACCATCTAACGGTCATTTGAAACCTTCCATGTGTCCCTCCCTCTCCCTATCTCAACTCCCCACTACTCTATGTAGGGCTTCTCTCCAAGCTTGAGTCAGTCTGTCCCTTTTCTTCAGTCCCCCACTTGAACCTGTGTGGAAGTCCCAGACTGTGAGATCTGACTTGACTGACTTGGGGGAACTTGTCAAGGCTCACCGACCTCTAAGGTTCACTGACCTGGTTTACTGACCAGTCAGTCCCTCCTCTGCACTTTTCCCTTTCACCTCCCTCTGCCCCTTCCTTCCTGGTCCAGGCAAGGCTGGTAACCAGCTCAGTTCTGCCACAGAGCCACTGAGAGGCAGGGAAGGCACCAGAAGACAGGCGTAAGGGCCCCTGTATCCTTCCTCTACTAGGCGGGGTTATGGGGCAGAACCTCATGCCCCAGTTCAAGGACAATGATGTTGGGGGTGGGAATTGTGGGAGCCCTGGCCGCAGGCCAGGTTGTAGGGAAGGCCTAAGCCTGGGAATTTCCTGAGCTTCAGAGAAGACATTGTGCAATTCACCTTCTCCTACCCAGACTACCCCAGATAATTTCAGAAGCTTCAGGCCTACCATTCCACTCACACTCAGTCTAATAAATGGAAATATAAAGACCTAGTGGACAAAAATCTAGCGAAACATGGAAGGAGGGGTCCTTGTGTTTGTGCCTTTTGGGATATTCACATCTTTAATATCCCAAATGTTGGTCACATTCCACATAATACTACAAGTTACTATTGCTCTGCAGGTAGCATTAGAGTAATAAGATATATCTCCATACTTGGAATTTTTTAAATTAATTTATTTTTTTGTAACCCTGATGTTTATTTATCAAATCTCACCAGTGGAGTGTTCAACTGGCTTTTAATATAAGGGCAGTTTCATTATATTGGCATAGTTGGCTATACTTAGGATTTTTTTTTTTTCTTGTATGAAAGGTCTTTATTGGTGGAGGGAGGGAGGCTGCAGAGCAGCACCAAGGAGGAGAGAAAAAGAGAAGAGAAAAGAGGAGAGAGAAGAGGAGGAGAGTGGAGGAGAAAGTAGAGGAGAGAGCAGAGGAGAGAAGAGCAGGATTTTTTTAAAAACACATTTCTCCCCACAAAATTTCTGGAAATTTTATAGTCCTGTCTAGGGAAGGATTTTTAAATATACTTCTGCCTTTCAGAATTGGTAAGTTAGAACTCATACAAACAGTCCGAGGAAGTGAAAGATAGAAAGAAGTTTCCATAAGGAAGTGGAATCAGAATTTCTGAGTTCAGAATGCCCAAGATCCCCATCAAAGATACTTGAGGGTTTGGGTATTCCTAGAACTTGGGATTTGGGAGTTTCCAAATATCTGACATTGGAATTTTCAGAGAGCTCCTTCAGAATTCAGCATTTCTTTTTGTTGTTGTTGTTTGTTTGTTTTGTTTTTTTGAGATAGTGTCTCACTTTGTTGCTCTCAGTAGGGTGCTGTGGCATCATAGCTCACAGCAACCTCCTTGGGCTCAGGTGATCCCCTTGCCTCAACCTCCTGAGTAACTTGGACTACAGGAGTAACTGGGACTACAGGCACCTGCCACAATGCCCAGCTATGTTTAGAGATGGGAGTCTTGCTCTGGTTCAGGCTGGTCTTGAACTAGTGAGCTCAAGTAATCCACCTGCCTTGGCCTCTCAGAGTGCTAGGATTACAGGCTTGAGCCACCTCACCCAGACAGAATTCAGTATTTCTATGGGCTTTCCTGTGTCTGGATTTTTTTTTTTTTTTTTTTT